CACTTGCTTTGGAGTGGCTTTTTCCAACTGCAGCTATCAAGCTCATAGTTATATTTATTTGTTTTAGTTTTGGCTGCTATGGCTGTGCACGGCATGTAATGACATTGCACATTGCAAATCATTGCGACTGCATCTGTAGACAATGAATTCTGACAGGAACAGCGTTTGGCGCACAAACACATCCACACAAACTCGCATAGCGATTAGTAAGTAAGGATGCGAAGACGTAAGCAGGCAACAGCGACCGGCAACAGGCAATAATCAACAACAGCAGCAGCCAGCAGTGGCATAGACATAGACAAAGTAGCAACAAGCACAGCTTTAAACCACAAGCAGCCAACATACACATATGTATGTATGCACAATGCATATACACACACATGCATACTACACCGCAAGTTACAGCGCCCTCAAGTATACTTGTAGCTTTTAATTTTTTTCGCAGCATACTAAAGAGAGTCTAGCGATTGCGCCATATTAATGTCGAAAAATGCGCTAGGGTGCTCTTACAGACAGTCTAGCGTGTATTGTTACACGTTAGTTTTTATGTACATATGTATGTATGTTTATGTAGACATGTAATTAAAGTCCAATATTCTGCATATTCTAACGCATAGATGTGGGTTAGGGTCGCCTGAGAGAGACTGTATGATTTCTTATTTGCTAGTTCATTTAGCGCAAAATACTTAAATGAAGATGGAGTTTAAATCCGAATTAATATGCGCAAGGACATTGAACTACAATAAATTGTATAAGAGTTGCAAATAACGACGAGAATACAGCTTGACTTGCCGCTATAGCATTCAGATATTAAAGCAAAGCAAAATACGATATTAGTTTAAATGAATACAGCTGGTCCGGCGAACCGGATTGACTCGGGTTTTAACCGACCAGGGGCTGTTGCCTAGGCGTTTGAACCCTGCTTTGTTGAACGACTATTTCCAAACATTGGTGATCCTTTGAGCAGCACCTCACAGTATGATTGCTGCGCACTCTTCTGGTTGGGGCTAGCAAAAAGACCCCGAACCGGAAACCTACTTCGGATGTTCATGTCAGAAAAATTCCATCCAACATCCATTTTGGTTATGTACAACACCTGCAACGGACTGAGCCACCTTAAAACCTGTTTTGGACTTAGGTAAAAACAGGGAGTGAAATCAAATTGCAACCACAGCCTCCATGTTTTTCCACAACTCTCGCAATACAACGGCACCTCCTGATTACCGGGGCGTTCACAACTCCACCTCGGCTCACATCAGCCCAAACGACGTCCTACCAGCAGCTCTTGGTACTTCACACCGTCTGCCCCAGGTGTCAGACAAGAATATACCGGAATAAAACATCCAGCGATCGCGATTTCTGGCTTACATGTGGCCTACTAGGAGCATTATTTTGATTGCACCCCATCCGCCAAAGAACCGCGCCTAATTGTAGAGCTCTGTAGCTGAAATATTCGCCGGACAAGCACAACTACCAGGCAGCAAACCAAACAGCTTGTCAACCACAACAAGCGCCTCACTGCCGTCACCACATTTTTCTTACTCACCGCGTCGCTAAAAGCCTCCAATGTATGCAAGGATACCCCAAATCAATTGCAGTTTACTACAGAGTAAGATCGAGTAGAAAACCATTTTCGAGAGTGGGCATAGAATATTGATAGCCGCTATCCGTAAGACGAAGTGGCTGTCGTTGCACCGGACACAATGTCTTTCGTTAAGGTCGCAAGCGATAAAATTGTAGTGGCTTAGCATTCATTACATTGCACGACATGTAGCTATCTGGTCAGATGATGTAGAGCTCGAAATATCTTATATATAATACCGCTTACTGCTACCAATCAAGATATCACTCTGTTATAGGTGCGCTCCTTAGAGGTGAAATCCGTATGATAGTGGGTTATTTTGTCGGCTCTTCGGCATGCAAGCGTGTCAAGCGATCTATCGCGAATTTCATTTGCAGGGAAGATAGCCGATTCGGTATCCTCCAGTAGCTCGTTTGACATAATAATGGCATGCACAGGTCTGATAAATTTTTTTTGGCAAACACCAAGCCACCTTCCTATCCTCTCACAATCATCTTGATAACTTTATTTCTGCGGATCACGTCTGCGCTGAATTTACTGAGAGCAATTTCGCCGCTCTTCATTGCAGTGGAAACTCAATTCATTCCGTTTGTATGCTTGATTGAAATCCTCCACAATCTCCGGGCTGAAGTGGCTGCACTGGTAAACAAGCGTAACTTTCTTCGCCGGGTCGTTCCCGTAAATACACGTTATCTAAATTTTGAGACTCGACAACTGATAAAACACCACAAATGGAAAAATGGAAAGAATCCTTAAGAATGCTTAAGCTGTGTTCTACCGTAAAGTCCCAGTCAAACCCAAGAAAGCGCGAGGCCAGCGTGGAAATTTCATTGGCTAACCATTTTCGTGAGATCCGTAAAAATTTGCGACCTATTTCAGCCATCATTTCACATTCCATTCTTCGGTGAATAAAGGTAGGCGCCTTTGCATCTTGCATCTCTTATTTTCACCAATGAATAATAAACAATTCTAAAGCCATTTTGAGTTTTAAAAATTCAAAACAGATGGCAAAAATGCGTATAGTCGTTGCTGAATGAAAAGAGGCGCGTATGGTGTTAGTTTCTCATTTCATCAAAGTTCAAATCACCCTTTACCGCTAGCAAAGATTCTAACTAAAAAAAAAAAAAACAAAATCTGATATTTGAAATTCGAAATTAAGAAATTAATCATTTCAATGGATACCCAATTGAAGTGAAATTGAATTTAACTTATTAAGACTCAATTTCAGATGGCCCATTTAATCTGCGCTTAAACGGCCAATATTGGCTATTTAAATATGATATATGCAAACCTGTGTTTGTACCAAACAACCAAAATTGATATGTAGGTTGTTTTGACAAGATGCCAAACAATAATCAGCTGTTCAGCACAAAATGTAAACAAACAAACAAATGAAAAAACAATTTCAATGAATAAAGAGCAGTGTTGCCTCTTGTTTGGCATATTACAAAAAAAAAATGATCTGAAACATAACGAAAGCTAAATGGCATTTCAATACCAATCCAAAATTAGACTCAAGAGCGGTTTAAATATTTAATTGAAATTGGCCCTAAGTAATTTTAATTTAATTTTTTCAACTGATGGAAATCCCCTTCGAACACGCCAAAAAATTCTAACTGTTCAAACTAAAGATTTCTGTTTCGTGAGACGTACATATTTTAATACTTTCATATACTTAACTTGCATGTTGAAGTTAACTTAATTCGACTTTTCAAACAGGCGGCAACCCTCATCAAAATATTTTCAACTACTATCCTTTTAAACCGGTTCCATCTGGCACACATATGGTGATACAATTTTCCATTAATTCAATTTTAATAGTATTTTTTAAACAGGTGGCAACCCCCCTAAATGTAGTTAAGAAATACTGCAGGTTCTAAACTATTTTGGTTGATATCCATATAGTAAGAGTTTATTAATGGTTTAAAATAATTATACCCGAGCGCACTTGAGCCTAAGGCTTATTATAACTATGTACACATAACATATGTACATATGTTTGTAATGGGCAAAACGAATCGAGTTATAGAAAATGTATACACAAATGATCAGAATTAAAAGGGAAGTCGATTAAGCGGTGACTGTCTGTCCAACCGTCAGCCCGCTTGTGATACGATAACTCAAGTAAAAATCGAGATATCTTAACGAAACTTGGAAAATCTTGAATACTTCAAAATTTAAGGACGGTAATTCACTCAAAACTGATACTAAGAAAATCCCTTGGAAAGAAGTAATATTATTATGGAATTTTTGAAAATGGACATAATACCGCCCACATAAGACTATATAAGTTTATCTCATTATGTCTAACTGAACGTTCTACCATATAGCGGTGGTTTTCTGAAAGCTGGAAAAACTATTTTTAATACATGCACCGGGTATTTAATGTCCGGCTTCGCCCGAACTTTTTTACTTGTTTTATTTTAATTTTTACTGGTGGCAACCCTCTTCGAAGAAGTAAATTCTTATTGCACATCTACACGCCAAGCCTTTAATATGAAAATCCAATGAACGTGGCAGATCTGTTGACCTGGACAAAAATTATCTTTGCGTACTAAACTATATCGTTGCCTGGGTAAAAGTTTGTCGTGTGTTGCCTTTGGCCGGTTTTGGGAAATCGCGATTGAATGTTGGAAAGAAATTTCTCAAATACGCGAATATAGATTTTCTTCAAAGTCTCGGAGAATGTTCAAAGTTTATTTTTAAATAATTATCGTTTAGCTCATGAAGGATTTTATTTAGGAAAACCTTTGTCGTATGCTACATTCAACATATCAACAATTTTGCAACCACTTTATATAACATATGACAAAACGTGAAACAATTTTTTACTATACCATAATTTGTACTCAACACCGCGGAAACTTATGGAGATATCCTAAAATGGAAAACTCCATTTGAAATCTTAGTTTCTTAATTAGGAAATATAGAGATGATCGATTCGTATTCAGCTCCGTTAAAACGCTCGATAAATTTTTAAAATTTGATTGATATAGAATCCGAAATATAAGATTTCGGGAACCGGGAAAAGAACCGTTCCCTCAATTTTGGAGAGTGGGGGGGATTCAGCTATCAGATATTTGTCGGAAATATTGTATCCGCCATTTCGAGTTTTAAATTGTCATGATTATATTCGTAATCAACAACCCCAAAAGCTCCCGAGTAACAAGTTTCGGGTATATTTCGCTTCCAGCTGCAACTACATACAAACATACATACATAATAATAGTTCTCTCCCCTAATACGAATGCTTTAGTTTTCCTACATCCTAAATGAGGTCTTTGATATATGAGCAGCCTGGTAACGCACATATGTACATATTTGAAAATATACACACACATACTTATATGAAGTATAAGTGTAAAAGCACCCACACATTCGCATCGAATGAAGAATATCTTTCAACAAGTTCAATTACCTTCCGTTTGATGGCAGTGGAAATCCGTCCAATGTCCATGAAATTTGCGGTGTTGGATTTCCGGCTGCTGAGCATTTCAAGCTCACAGCCGGTCCCGGCTGCAGTGTTTGTTCGATGAAGCTGTACAGCAGTACTGGCGGTGCATCTACAATGAAAAGTTAAAAAAAAGCAAAGCATCAAAAAAAAATTGTTTGTATGAAAAATTGTGAAAAATATAGAAAATAGCGCAGACAAGTGAATGAGCGGCAAAAGTGAATGGGTGAGCGAATGACTGAGTGCAAATGAATGAATGCAGTGAATGTGAATGACAGAGCGGTGCAACAACAAGGTTATGCATGCAAAGCGCATGCAAAAAATATAATATAATATTTACATATTTGCATATAATATTTAACTTTGCTTTATTTACGTTCATTTATTTGTTTTCACGCTTGGCTTGAACTTACATATACATTCATACATATACTACGTTTATACGCATGCATAAGTCGCTTTAATTCATTTCGCCGCGATTCAAAACATATGTATAAACTGAATTTCAATTCGCTTTGAAACAGCGAAGTGTTTTGGCTCACACTCCATTTCAAATCGGTGGTTTATTTCTCCAGACAGTTAGAAAGAGTGTATAAACACCGCTCTCACTCAAAGCGATTTGGATCAGTATTTAAAAGCTGATTAATAATAATCGTCCTTTTTCTTTGCCACGATTTTATAATGCCGAATAAAACTAGATTTTTATCACTTTCCACTATGTTAACTTATAAAATGTCAAATGAAAACAGCTAATTTTGTTTGCTTTTGAAGACGGTTACTTTGATGCCGATATAAAGCCGTAAGTATAAACACTAGAGCGAAATGTGTACGGTGTCAATGCGCTTTCAATTAAGTCGATTATTCTGTGCGTATAAACGTAGTAATATACACATACATACATAAGTGATATACAGGGTGTGTGTATTAAAATGAATGTACAATATATCTAATACCCTTGGCGAGCTTTTTAATAAACGTTAGTGGTTTGTTATTAGATATGCATTGACCACACAAAAAAATATTATTTTTCGTAGGAGCATGGTTCCAAAATTATGCTCCTCCCAATATACCACGTCTATGGGAGGGGGTGCCATAAACACGCGAGCAGGGACCTTGATCTTGCGATCTTGTTCTCTCGAAAGCACTCAAAGCCTTCTCATCGTTGTTCAACATCGTCCACGTTTTTGAGCTATATAAAAGATCAGGCATGACGATAGACTTCTAGAACGTAATTTTTGTTCATCGAGGGAATTGTCTACCGAGCTCAAAGGAGCAAGAGTAGTTCTTCCCTTGATCTCCAAGCTGACGCTATAGGTAGTATCTGTGTCAAATCTTAGGTAGCCTAAGTCCTTCTTTACTTCAAACCAACAGTGACTTGTGCCTCGAAACGTGTCGACTCTTTATATGTTGCCAGGAGGTTTTTTTATTGTCTACATTCACCGCCAGACCAATTTCTTTAGCTTGTTTTTCTAAACTGGAAAATGCTGCGGTTAAGTCCCTTTGCTTCAGACCGACGATGTCCATATCATCTGCATACGCAAGCAACATCGTTCTTTTGCTATATGTACATATATGATACCGCTGTGACTGGCATTGGCAGCTCTTATTAGGCTTTCCATAATCAGCCAGTCTTCTTCGTGAAACGCGCTACCTGTGTCGCCATTCAGAAGCGTTGAGAAGTGTTCCCTCCACATCTAAAGTGTACTCAGGACATTTTTTTTACTAAATTTCCGTCTTCATCTCTGCAGGAAGGTGCCCCGGTTTGAAACCATTTGATTGCTGCCTTATTTTCTTAATTTTCGAGCCACATTCGTTTCTGCCAGCTCTTTGCATTTACGTCTATTTGCCTCTCGTTTCTTTCTTTTGAATAGACGTAAGTATCCAACCAAATCTTCCATAGCGGTATGAAGAGATTGGAAGATGGACTCCCACTGCTCATTTATATCCGTTCGATGAAGATTTTCTTGTATAGGTAGGATTGAGAGCCGATTGCGAAATTTCTCGGCAGTCTGTTGTGATTGCAGCTTCTCGACAAAGGTGCATGCGGATGTCATCTGTAACAAGGTAGTGATCCGAGTCGATGTTGGCTCGTCGGATAGAACGCGCATCAAGAACGCTCGAAGAGTATCTTCCGCCTATCACAACATGATCTATTTGGTTCTTCGTTCTTTGATCAGGGGACATCCAAGAGGCTTTTTGGATGTTTCGATGCTGGTGTCTCGTACTACTAGCTACAATGTTCCATGCCGCGGCAAAGTCGATCAGCCTCCCTCCGTTATCGAAGGTATTGTCGTGAAGGCTGAATTTTCCGAATGTTGGACCAAAAATGCCTTCCCTTCCCACCCTGGCGTTAGGAGTGGCCCGGCTCGGTGCCACTAAGTTATTTGCAATCGTATGCTGCGAATGCCGAATTATACTAAAGCCAGCCTTTCGACATAAGTTACTATTTCATACGAACACAGATAAATTCCCTATAATCGCTCTTAGAACTGCTCTTTAGTTTAATCGTCCTTCTTCTCCGTCGTGTCGTGCGCACAAAGGTTGTTTAATTGAACTTTGATGCGGATCATGGCGAATCGTTCACTGATGGGAGTTAATCTGGAGACGAGCTGATAAGCAAAGATTTTTGCTATAAAAATGTCAGCGTGAAAAATGTCTATATTTTTGAATTAAAAAAATTGGCCTTTTCATTTATTTTATTTGTGTAACTGCTTGTACAAACGAGGCTGCATAAACTTCGTTTATTTTTTTCAGTAAAATATAAAAATATTGGAAGACATAAAGGCCCGGTTTCCATATTTGATCAGGAGGGTTTTATTTAACGATGGATGTGTTGCCCAGTTTAAGGGCAAGCATATAGTAATTTAAAAACATCTGCTTTGTTACCTCCAAATTGGCTCTACTGTAGGTTTAATTCTTTGACACCCTGTACTACAAGAATAAGTTAGTCGTCGACTTGGTTTAGTTTTTTTTTCAACGCCACTGATTTCGAATTTGTCACCTCTTTGATTACTGCATATACATATATAAATATATATATATTAAAAAGTACACATTTATTTATAAATATACTGCCATTTCAGCTGCTTTTATTTATTCGCATTTATTTTGAGCTGCAAAAAAAGATTCTGCAAATTTGCATGTCTCTTCAGAGCCAATTTAAATAGTATTTGTTTACCAATCAAGAGCATTGACCAGCTCAATTATCGACAATTTTGATGAAAAGAAACTACAATGAAATTTAATGAATGCAATTTTCTGAATAAGAGTCAAGTTTTTTGCTATTAATTACCTATATTTTATGAATTTTATTTGATATGCAAATATGCAAAATATCTCCACACCCTTTTTGACTTTATCGTCACAAGACACGATTAAAGGCGCGAGGTCCAAAGTTGAAGAAAGGCGTCTAGATTTGACGGCGAAGAAAGACGCGTAAGCTTATTTTTGCGGGTCCACTATGTTTGCGGGTGTAATTGTATGTACATTTCCCAAAGAGGTTTGGGTCATGATACTAAAGTGACAGTACTTGGCTAGGTACATATAAGTCTATGTTTCGCCGAAGTTTTTTTACGCGTATTTTTTCGTCAAATCGTCCTTTTTTGCCGCGAAAACAATAGCGCGCCTTTATTCATGTCTAGTGACGATATGTATTGCTGTGAAATTATAATTCTTGGAACTTGTGCGGAGTTTACATTAAGCCCGGTCGCGATCGTTATGTTTTGTAGTATTTCCGTAGCTCTCCGCAGTCTTTCTTCTTTAAGACAAAATATACAGAGGGCCTAGTTAAGGTGCCAAGAGTACAATCTATGAGAGAATTCTATAAATCTGGTTTTAAAAATTTAACTGTATGAAAATTAATTGATTGCTTAGAGGAAAAGTCTACCGCTAAGTGTTAGCAACGGCACCAAAAAAAAAGAAGTAATCAAAGGACCATAGACGTCATAGATGAAAGTAATAAAGAAGGCAGGATTCTGCGGTACCAATTGAAGTGGGCCAAACTGATATTGCCAAAAGTAGAGCTACAGTTTAATCAGGAGAACCCGTATCCGCTCTAAACTTGTACGACGCTTGCAGGTGCCTCGCACAAGTCTGCTATCGATAAAATACTGGCTAAAGCCCATCCAGGAGTTTAACTCAAAAGAGCTTGCGTAACATTTACACCAACGAACCCAATGAAAATGAGAGGCATGTGCAGTGTGGAGAATACGGAGCAAATGGATCGCACAGCAATATATTAAGTTTGCATTTAACGTTATTCGGCTTAAAGGTTCATTGAAGTCTCAACGTATGTTCATCTGCTTGAGATACTACACCCAGAAAAAGGTTTAGCTATAATAACCAAGATTTGGTTATAGTGATCAAGTGGCATAGTTGGATATGGCGAAATAAATATATAGTTCACGAAAGTCTGCAATTTACTTAAGACTTCTAGTTGGGACAAATGTATATTTGTTAATAATTACAAAACGACTACCTTGATTGGACAATATTGTTAGTTGAATAAAATCATTGTTGAGCAAATATAAACAATGCTTTGGTTGATACAAGTTTTCAATTAATCTTGTGAACTTGCCGTAGACTTGAATCAGCTAACCGTTTATTATTGGGAAAAAAGTTTCAGTTTGACACAAATAAAAATTTACTCGATGTTTGTTGTGTTTACTTTCTTCTTTTATTTGCATATATTAAGCATAACAATACGTACATATTCACATAAGTTAGTTACTAAAGTAAATAATACATATGTATATGGTGGTAAAAATTTCCTAAAAAACAACGATGAAACAGGAGCAGTCGTGCGAAAACCCAGGTCAATATCTGCTGGAAGTATACTGCTTTGCTTTTTCCTTAGCTAAATAGACACTTTCAAATTATAATTCACATGAATTATATATCCACTGAAAAACCCCGGTTGGAATCAAACTTTATATTTTTAATTAAACTTTAAACTATGCGCGCACCGAAACAACCCGCGATGATAGCAAAACTGAAACTGTGACAAACAAGTATGGGCATGTCATAGCACACATGGCGCAGCGATCGACATGCCATAGCTTACTGAGCGCTCTGGGACCACATGCGTGTTTCACCCATATACGAACAGCGGTA